GTGACAACTTTGTAAACATTCCGACCACACTAGCGTCTTCCTATCTATCAGTTCGCAAGCTTTTCTTTTCATCTTGGTCTGACGATCGTCATTGGTGTTGAACTGAGGGCAGATGTAATGAGTTGTAAAAGTTAAAAACGTGTTTTGAATGAAAATTTAATTTCCATTTTATCAACGTTGGGGATGGCAATACGAGGGTGGATCGAAAATGTATTGATAGGATTGTATCAAATTAGAGGAGGTTAAAAAATTGAAGAGACTTGGGAACTTGCAACCACAGCATGTTTTGACGAAACTCGTCGTTTAATGGTGCCTATGTAGAATCTCTCTGATTTTCCTTTTTCACTGCAAAGTGAAACGGCGAAGAAACAGAAAATCTTCTACATTTTCGTAGTTCTTATCCAAAAATATTTTTTTTTAAGTTTTAATTTATTTCGTTTATTGTAGCCTCAGTTGGACACATTTTTTTTTAGCCATTGAAGAAAAACTATTTCCCCTTATTCCAAAACCACCCACGTAATGACACCACAAACTGCCACAGAAGACAATACTGAATCTAGCCAAACATGCCAAGGCGGCCAGAAAAAAACGTAGCATCATTATTGCAAAATCTCAAAGATTGGTTATGCAGAACAGCTGCAAACTGAAGTTTGTCAGATAACGATGCGCATTCATTTGTTCTGGCATCCATCGCTTACGCCGAACAATGTCAAAGCTGGCATTACATGACAATGCATCGTCTGTCCGTCCTCCTTCTGTCCGCCCGTCCCATCACATTCATTGCCCTGTAGTTGTATTTCAATCGCATTACACTACGAATGAATGTTAGAATGTGCCCTTCTGCCTTCGATGGCCTGGGCCAGTGCATCTTGGAAATCAGTGCAAACACTTTGCATATTTCAGTTTTGGAGGAAATGATTCTTGTCTTTTGTCAGTTGGCGGTGGCATTGAATGCAAATTGTTACTCCAATTGTTTTAATAATTTAATTTAAGCAATGAAACAAAGGAGGGAATGGTGATTAAGAGGTTTTCTATTTGATTTTGAGGGCGTAGATAAATTCGGTTTATTTGTAAAGGAGAGTGGTAAGTTTAAAGTAAAAGTAATCTGTTTTTAGAAAATTCTCTTAATTTAACGGCTTTTTAGAAAATTCTCTTGGATAAGCTTGTAACCTGAAACGGTTGAGCAAGTAGGTTGTCCTAAAATTTCGAATTACGAAAGCATTTTTTTTTTTTTTTTTCAATTCCCAAATATATATTTTGACTAAGTGGCCCGGTCCGCGTCGCCGGTCCGAACTTTAAGACTTTAATGCATATTTTTTGAAGCACAATAAATCACAGATCTGACTATAAGTCACAATTTTTATAATAAGGAATGACTCCATGGTAATTTTGTAATAGAAATATTCTTGGCAATAATTATAATACAGGGTGAGATGAAAAACTCCTGTCATTTCTAAGCCACTAGTCTGACAGCTGTTAAAATTATTCCAGGGACAGCTCATTATATAGTTTACAAGCGTACAAAAGCATTTTGGTGAGAATTTTCCATAAAAAAGTTATTCGCGATGGAATTCAAGCGTGGTAGTGTGATTTGGCTGGAAAACCACAAGTGGCTATCGTTAGAGCACTCCAGCATTTAAATGTGAATAAATCTTTTATGTCTCGTACCATCGCTCGTTACCGTGATACCGGCAGTGTAGCCCGACGTCAAGGAAGTGGACGGAAGAAAACAGCAACATCAGCAGAAATGGTTGGAAAATAAAGAAGCGACTTGATCGAAACCCGCGTCGTAGTAGACGAAAAATGGCTCGTGAGCTAAACATATCGCAATATTCCATTCGACATATCGCAATATTCCATGATGGTGTGGGCCGCCATAACAGCCGATGGTCACACTCCGCTTGTATTAATCGACCGTGGCATCAGAATAAATGCGCGAAAATATTCTGGAGGATGTATTAAAGCCTTGGGAAATCAAACATTTTGGCCGCAGCCTTGGACATTCCAACAGGACTCAGCACCATCGCACCACTCAGCATGCGCCACCCAAGGATGGTTACAAAATGATGTTCCTCGCTTCATTTCCACCGCACAATGGCCACCAAAATCTCCGGATACCAACCCGTTGGACTATTGTGTCTGGAGTATTTTGGAAAGCAAGGTTGGCATTAAAAAATATCAAAGTGTCGATCACCTCAAGCAAGCGCTTCCCCGGGAATGGGCCAAATTACCGTAGAGCAACATTCGGGCAGCGTGTGACTATGTGATTTCATTGGCCGTTGAAGGCCATAATTCATGCCAAAGGAGATCAATTCGAGCAAATCTAAACATATTCATTAAAATTAAAAAAAGGAAAAATTAAGGCGTTTGACTTTGTTGCAATTTTTTTTATCTGACCCTGTATATCTTTATCCGATTACAGGCCACTAAATTTGGTAATGAGGGAAATTAAAGAGATGAAATCCTGAAATTCGATATTAATGTCAATGATGGTATCTGAGGTTGAGATATGGAGGTTGTTTCTAAAATGTGTACTATATATGTTCGAAAAGTAATAAATTTCTTATTGGGTCAAGGGATAGCAATAGAATCCTTAAATTTGATATTGAGGTCTCTGTTGGTATCTGGAATTGAGATATGAAGGTGGTTTTGGAAATGTGTGCTATAATTGTACGAAAAGTACTAAATAATAATAAATTTGGTATTGAATGAGGGAATCGGGCTGGAGTCCTGAAATTTCATATGGTTTGTGGCTGAGAGAAGGAATTGGTTTTGGATATGTGTACTATAATTGTACAAAATGAAACTAAATTTTTGTATTGGGAGAAATTACGGAGCTGGTATCCTGATATTTGTATGTGAGGTCACTGTTGGTTTCTACGGCTTAAATATGGAGACATTGAAATAACTGTAGACAGAAAAAATGGATGTGGGTTAATTGTGCAATGGTTGTATTAATATTCTTCTAAGTAAACCTCGAAATAAATGATTTTGAAGACTTTCTGGTTTAAAAGGTAGACATTTTCCCATTATTCTTTACGGAGAAGCAAAAACCTGAATAACATATAAAACCCGAATATTTAGTACGATGTATGAAGTTTTGATTAATTTATTATTTTCAAACTGAACAAATTGTGAATTTTGAGTACTAAAAGAACAAACACTAACTAGTAAGCAAAGGCTATAGTCGTGCGGGGCCGACTATGTTATACCCTACAACACTACATATATTAAAAGCCCCCATATGTCCAAATCCATATTGGAAGATTTCTCTTTTGAAATTAGGATTTTGACCAGGGACATTTGCCCAACGTTTAGGCACTCTGTCGGTCTGTTAGTTGTTGTAGTCCATTTTACAGCTAAATATAATCCAATGGTCATCCAAAATGCTAGAATTCTTCCCTGTCCTTAACTCTCCTCACAGGCGTGTCGATTGGCTTCAATTGTGTGATCGGAAAAACATTTCTATTTTTGGTTAATTTGAACCCTTAAATATTTTGCGATCATCTCCAAAAGCAAGAAGTCCCTGTGTATCTCCAAATTTAGGCTCATCTATATGATTTGCTGGTCTACGATATCCGCATAACGTAGACCAACGAAATCAGCATAAAAAGCCAGAAGTTCGCCTTTTGTGTATTTCAGATATCGCCTGTAAGTAATGCTGGTATTTTTTCACACAAAATTAGTGGCACATTGTACCCGCTGTCCTAAACTCTAACTTTATGCGAGATTTCGTGTCCTTTGGTTTCCATTTGTGACCTTTATAACGGCTGCAAAATCAGGAAAATTTTTAGTTGTTGGTCCATTTCAACCCCTAATATATTGCGGACATCTTTGAAAACTGTAGGCCTAGCCCTTCTGAGCCCAACCCTACTCTTGTGAAAATTTTCTTGAGGATCTGACGATATTTCCAATACCTATATAATATCCCCAAACTGTGTTGTAAAATGAAAAAATATTACAAAATATTAAAAGTCAAATTGAAAAAATCGCACGCGATAAAAAATATGAAAAAATAAAAACATGTCACAAAATACTACAAAATCTTTATTAACATCATTATTGGCATATTTTTCTGCAATTTTTTTTAGATTTTATACTTTTATGTCAAGAGGGCATTCTGAATTGACAAAATTTGTCAAAACCGGTATAGCCATTCTTGAGATATAAGCATTCTAACTAACAACCCCTTCCTTTGTATATACACATTGTATATATTTCGCTATTTGTGATTTTGCCGGGATTAAAGATATTCGCGGTTTAATGGAAAATTTGACTTTTATTTAGCACAAATGTTGTGGCCTATTTCACCCACTAAATATTACCCGGTGACCATGAAACTTGGAAGGCTTCTGCCCAGCCCTAAGCTCTAGCCCCATGCTAACTTCCGCTTTGATTGGTCTATAATTGCGACCTGTAGAGCAACTGCAAAATCAGGAATTTTTTCAGTTTTTGGTCCATATCAACCCCTAAATATTATGCGATCATCTCCAAGAGAAATAGGGTTCTATTCTGACCCTAGCCCCACCTCCATTCTAAATTTCGTCAAGATCGGGCCATAATTGTGACCTGTAGAGTGATTACAAATTAACATGGACAGACGGACATACATAGCTAGATCGACTCAGCTCGGCGAGATAGGAAGATTCATATATACTTTCCTATGTGGGAAACCAATATTTCGTGGTGTTACATAATTTTTGGGCCAATTAAACTTATTATACACCCAACACATAGTGATGTAGGGTATAACTAGAGAACAAATCAAAATTTTTGGCTGAAGAAGTAGCGGTCAAGTGCTAGTTATTAAATATCTTCGTAAGTCCTGAATTATACTAGGCGTGTTTGCTGGCGGCAATTTTTTATCGCTCTCTTTTTAACATGGCCCTTGCATTTATACAAGACAATAATTTTCTGCAATTTTCTTTTTCATCATTGCCTTTTCTGTCATTGTTAATTATATTTTTGTATAAAAATAAAGACACCAAAGGAATTGCCAGAATATTTCTAGTACGAGCAATTTGTCACCATTTTCATTCCCCTTACACCCCTCTCCTACAAATAAAGAGTTGCCGCCGAAAAGATGGGTAATATAAATTTGGACTAAGAGAAACAATAATGAAAATTCGAAATTTATTTTCCAGCAACGAGATTTTCCTAGTTAAAAACTTTAATCTCTTGGTTTGTTTCATCAATATTTAAAAGCCTAAATGGAGTTTTGCTACATTTTACTTAGACAAAATAATTAATTTTGAAACCAAAAAAAAAAAAAAAAGAAAAAAATCAATAAAACTTAACAGCCTAGTAATTTATCGAAGCTGTTAAGTCCTCCGATAGAATTTGGGTTACGAAATAAATCTCTGTGCTTCTAAAAGCATTGCCCTCCATTCTATTCAGCTGCATTAACAGAAGAGGGGTTTTTTTTACAACAATATTTGTCATCAAGTAAATCGGCCGCAATACTTTAATTCATTAAATAAATCTGGGATAAGCCATTGCCATGATTCTTTGCTTTTTTTGTGGGTCGGTCAGCGAAATCGACTCCGACAAAAACACACACACTAAAATAGGAAATGCAATATTTTCAACACATGAAAGCACAATTGCTGGTCAAAAACAATTCAGATGGCAAAAAAATGTGATATAAAGTTTAAATACGCCTAACTAAATAAATTAAAAGAAAGGAAAAACACAAAAACAAATGCCGATATTCATATAATGGACATCGATATCCCGGCAAACAACGAGGCAAATGAGAAATGTGTAAAAAAGTCTCCATTGCCAACTGAACACAAACGTCGGGCGCCAACAGCTAGCTTAGAGAAAGAAAACGCCCAAACATTTCCACTGCTCGTTGTGGGTTTTCATGTCGGGACACCTTTTTATTTTTGTGTTTTTTTTGTTTCCCGTTTTTGCCCGATTTTCGCTGCCATTCTCCGTCCAGTTCATGACATGCCTCATACTGCGCTCGAATGCACCCATTGCTGGGGCAATGCAATGCATCACAACAACATGGAAATGCAATCGTTGGAAAAAAGTGCATTGGCGCGACCGTACCGTTCAACAAAATGAAATAGAGCTTAATTTAGTCACGAGGCGTACATGCGCCAAAGTTAAACAATTGTAATCAACAATTGCATTTGCAACGCACTGTGGGTCAAATGTGGTGGCAGTGATAGCATAATAACATTTCTGTATAATACTGCAAATGCCGGCTACATCGTCAGAGAAAAGACCAATTCAAAATTTCAGATTCGTTCCAAAAATTCATGGTAGGCCTTTTTAGTACTCAAATGCACAATTAGTTTAGTTTGACAAGTTTTTTCATCAAAATTTCATACATCGTACTAAGTTTTCCTTCATGGTTTTATTTATTATTCAATTTAATCCTTTGCGGATAGAATAATAGAAAAATGTTTACCTTTTACACTAAAAAGACTTTAAAGTCTTTCATTTGGAATTTCACCGAGGAAGATATTAGTAAAACCATTGCACAATGGACTCATATCCAATTTTCCTGCCCAAAACTATATCAATGTCTCCATATGTAAACCCTAAAAACCAATAGGGACCTCATTATCAAATTTCAGACTTTCTTCTCCAAATACCAAATTTAGTACCATTTAGTACACGCATCTAAAACAATCTGCATCTGTCCATCCTAGACACAAACAGTGATCCAAAATTATTACCACTTAGTAACTCTCGAACAACTATAGTATGCATTGGCTTCTATATCAAATTTCCAGTTCTATCCCTTAACCAAATACAAAATATAGTACCATTTAACTCTTTACCAACAATTCTAGTACACATTTGTAAAATCATCCCCAAATATCTAGGCTACACGTGAATAGCGACACTAATACTAAATTCCAGAATTTCAGCTCTATCTCTTACCCAATGCGAAATTTAGTACCATTTGGAACATTTCGTACAAGTATAAGACGCATTTCCAAAATCACCTTTGTATTTCAATCCCAGTTACCAACAAAATCCTTAATATCAAATTCAGCTTCAATTTCAGCTCTATCCCTTCACCAAATACTAAAAATAGTACTATTTAGTACTGTCCGTACAAATGTGGGATGTATTGCCAAACCACCTTCAAATCTCAAACACAGATACCGTCAGTAATATAAATATCACATTTAAGGATTGCAGCTCTATCCCTTTACCGAATACCCAATGTGGTACCACTTAGTCATTTTCGTACAATTTTGGTACACATTTCTAAAACCACCTCCATATCTCAATCCCAGATATCAACAGAAACCTCAATATCAACATTCACTGCGTCAACTCTATCCTTTCACCCAATGCCAATTATAGTACCATTTGGTACTGTTCGTAAAATATAGAATGCCTCCATATCTTAATCCCAGATACCATCAGTAATCTAATTATTAAAATCTACAATTCCAGCCCTATCCTCTCACATAATGCCAAATTTAGTACCACTTCGTACTTTTCCTACGAATATAAGACGCATTTCTAAACCACCCCCAAATCTCAAACACTTTTTATACAAATACAGTAACAATTTCCAAAATAACCTCCGTATCTCAATTCTATTTGCCAACAGATTCCAGCTCTATCCCTTCACTCAATACCAAACTTAGTACCACATAGTACTTTTCGAACGATTATTTTAATCATAGACATCATCAGTAATATAAATATCAAATGTGAGGATAGCAGCCCAATCCCTTCGTCCAATCTCATATTTAGTACCATTTAGTACTTTTCTTACAATTATAGTGCACATTTCCAAAATCACTTCCGTATCGCAATTCCAGATATCAAAAGAGAACTCAATATAAAATTTCAGGATTTCAGATCCATTTTTTTCACCCAATACCAAATTTAGAACTCTTTAGTACTTTTCGTACAATTATAGTACCTATTTCCAAAACCCCTTCCATATCTCAATTGCAGATACCAATAGAGACTTCAATATAAAATTTGAGGACTCCAGCCCTATTCCCTCACCCAATGCCAAATTTAGAACTATTCAGTACCATTCGTACCAATATAGGACGCATTTCTAATGCACTGTTAATTTTAAAAACACAGATACCATCTGTAAACTAAATATCAAATTCCAGAATTTGAACTCTTTTCCTTCAACCAATACCCAATTTAGTACCACTTAGTACTTTTCGTACAGATCAAAAATCAGTAATATAAATATAAATTGCAGAATTGTATATATCTCCCTTCACCCAATACTAAATTTAGTACCATTTAGTACTTTTTGTACAATTTTAGTGCACATTTTCGAAACCACCACCACATGTCCAGGTTACACATAAAAAGCCAAACACAAATTGTACCAAATTTAGTACTATTCACTACTTTTCGTACAATTATAGTACACATTTTGAAAATCACCTCCGCATCTGAATTCCATATACCAACAGAGACCTTAATATGAAATTTCGGGATTCCAGCTCCAGCTCTCCCAATACAGAATATAGTACAATTTTGGTCTTTTCGTACAATTATAGTACCCATATCCAAAACTCTTTTCATACCTCAATTCCAGATACCAACAGAGACTTCAATATAAAATATCACTTTCCTTATGCCAAATTTAGTACCACTTCGTACTTTTCGTACGGATTTAGGACTCATTTCCAGTTCACTGCCAAATTTCAAACGCAGATACCATCAGTAATCTAAATATGAATGTTCAGATTTGTATCTCTATCCCTTCGCACAATACCAACTATAGTAGCATTCAGTACTTTTCGAACAATATGTCAAGGCTGCACATGAACGACACCAAAATACAAAATATCAAACTGCAAGCAAAATACCAAATTGTACCAAATATAGAACTATTTAGTACGTTTTATACACATTTAGAAAACCAACATTAATTCACAATCCTAGCACCAAAAGGCATCCCAAAACAAAAATTTCGACATTCGTACCTTTTTAGTATAGATTTTCAAAAACCCAGCCTTACGACATGTATTCGCACCAAGAATGACCCTAGTGCAAAATATCAGGATTATAGATACTGCCTTTGAAAATGCATATGGAAACACATCTCGCGTTGGTTGTAACAAAATAATGAGGGTTTATGAAATATATTTTGTCGTGGATTTAAGATATGTATTCGTTTTGATGTGATGGAATAGTGCCCAATAGTTTCCTGTTCCGCCTCACCTATTTCGGAGCAGTCTGAGTGGTAATCTCCGTTAATTCAGATAGTTAGTTTTACTATTCTATAGAAAAATTGATATGGAGTTTAAATGGAGATTTAGATATTAAGCATCGATTTTTCCATACTTCTCACTTGGAGACGTGCCCCTTCCAATTTCGACTCGAAAATTAATGTGGATCTACACAAACATTTTAGTCGATTTTAGTTTAGTTCATGGGGATAAATATTCATTTGAGCACATTAATTCCTCTTCCGATTCACGGTGAATGACGCTATCGACAGATAGACAAACAAACAAACAAGCTGACAACTAGATACAACTGCAACAACGACAACATTCATGATGACAATAACAGCCACGACGACAGTAACACGTGCAACACCAATCGCCGGAGAATGCCGCGCGAACTAAAAAAAAAACAAAAAAAAAAAAAAAAAAAAACAATGACAAACAACATTCAACCCAACCAACCCATAATCCCTAAAACCGGGTTCAATGATATGATTTTTGGCTTTCCCGTTTTTTTCCACCCGTTTTTTTTCTCTGTTTAGTTGTTCCTGTATTTTCGATGGGTGGGTTGGAGGTTAGTTGGTTTTGAACCATTATTGTAGCCTTAGTTTAGTAACATGGTTTTTGTAGTTATTGTCATTTGGCGTTGGTGTTGTTGTTGCTGTGTTGTCGCTATTGTTTACCGGCTGTTTGTGTTGTTGTTGCTATTTCTGTTGTAATGTTGTTAACACCAAAATGAATGGCTTTGTGTAAAGTTGTTGAAGAAGAAGAGGATGAAAAAAAAAAACAAAAATTGAAAAGTGGACTTTTAAACAACAGCCACAGCAAATAACGATAATCCACCAAAAGTACTGCATAAAGTTATTGATTACAGTGTAGTGGCCTAATTCGAGTTCGTGTGGGGTTTATGGTAAAGGTTGCCATGTAAAATATTCGTTACAGTTAAATATATATAACATAGGGAGTCAGTAAGATATATAGATTTCGGTCCATTGATCGATGAGACTGTCAAAAGAGCGTTTCATTCATAAAAGACATTTTCGGGAAGGCTAGCATAAGTTGGCAGTCGGAAATCGGTTGCAAGTCCACCTAGAAAGAGTTACCGATCCTCATCAGTTCTCTTGAAAGCACAACAAGTGGAAAGAGATGTAAATGTTGCAAGAATTAGAAGAAATGCCAAAAGAATTTTAGTTTAATTTAATTGTTCGGTTCCTCTTCTTTTGAGCTAATGATCTCGTCACTTGGGTAAAAAAATTGTGGTATGAGTTATTTTAAAATAACGCCTGGCGAGACTATCGCAGATAAAACTAAGGG